TCAGCTGTTACAAAAAAGTGGGCCACTGATAATAACTTTGTTAACAAGGGAGGTCGTATGTTGGCTGATATATCAATGGCTGGATATAGACTTTTCGGGCTACCTGACCCTAGGATTGATAATGAAGCTGTCTCCAAAAAGTGGGTCGAAAATAAAATATCTACGTTTGATTCAACATATGTTAAATCCACAGGTTCAACAATGGCCGGCGCCCTCAATATGGGTGGAAATGAAATTAAAAATATAGGTGACCCTAGTTCGAGTACATCAGCTGTTAGTAAAAGTTGGGTTACATCAGGATTCACTTTAAATGGTGATCTAACCGTTGCAAATGGTAATTCAATCTATACGATCAACAACCTTGGTGCAAAAATAGCTGTTCCCAATATTCAAACTGTGGTTAACCAAATTTCACGCTTTGCCTTGAAATTGGACGGTTCAAATGAAATGACTGGTGTTCTCAAGATGGGTGGAAATGAAATTGAAAATATTGGGGCTCCTAGTGCCGATGAATCTGCAGTTAATAAAAAGTGGGTGGAAGATAAGATTAGCGGTGGTAGAAGAAAGCGCGAGACCTACAGCGGACTTACATTATCTGATGACCTTGATATGGGAAACAATGAAATTATAAAGTTAGGTGCTCCTACAACTGATAATTCTGCTGTGTCTAAAAAATGGGTCACGGATCATGTCAGTGGGAGTTCTGTAAGTAGTAGTGGCTTTACTATGAGCGGTAATATTGACATGGCTGGTAATACTATTACGGGGCTAAATAGTGGGTCAACAGGAAGTTCTAGTGCTGTTTCTTATGGTTCCATGACTTCATGGTGCTCACAGTTTCTTAAACGTGATGGTGGCACTTTAGCTAGTAACTTAGATGTTAACGATTATGAGTTAACTAGAGTTGGAAGTCCAACGACTGACGGTTCAGCTGTTAATAAGAGGTGGGCAACAGATGAATTCATGAGTAGTAGAGATGGGTTGGTAAAGGGTGATTTGGATATGGGAGACTCAAGTGGAATTCTCGATCTAAAGGATCCTGTAAATGATAAGGATGCTGTTAACAAACAGTGGGTAGAAAAGAATTTCCTAAAACCTTCAACTGGTCTTACTCAAGCAACGGCTGACTTAAGATATGTAAGAATACGGCGACATATACATGCAGAATGGATTTGGGGTTATCGTGGTGTTTCAGTTGCAGCAACAAGGTACTATGCTTACTGTCACGATCAGATTCCACCTTCATGGAGAACAGATCCTATTAATAATATGACAGACCTCAACCTTGAGTCAATTACTATTAAATCAGACTACCCACGTTTTTCAACTATTCAAAATATACCACTAGCTCTAATTCTATGGGCTACTGTATGGGAGAAACAATCTAATGGAAAATTTACCCAGGTTAAGAAGGAAATCGCTCTGAGAACAATAGACTTAAGAAGACTGTCACACACCTGGTTTAACGGAACTTACACAACTACAGGTGGAAGTACAGCTTGCTACGTTTTCAAGGGTAATAGTATGTTCTATTTAGGAGCCCAGGCTGAGTTGGTAGATAACACGCTAGCTTGGTGTATTATAGTTAAACCTGAACACTCAATGCCCACTGGATCGAGTATGGATATGTCCTTTTGCTGGTCACTCCGATATTCGGGGTCAGGTATTTAACATGTGGTTTATCATAAGATAAGATGTCAAGGTGGAGGTCATGCTTCTCATGCTTAGGTAAGATTTGCGGTTGTCGTAAGAGTTCTGGTAGGAATGGAAAGGCTGGTGATATAAATTTCTCTGTATCAAATAATATTAACGTTGACGTCAACACACAGAATAATAAAGATGATTCAAGTAATGTGTTTGACCCTAAGAGCTTCGGCCCCTTGAGTATAATTAAATATGATAATAAAGATTAAAATAATAGATAAAAAATTAGTCTTGAAAAAGTGGTCTAGAACATTTGATGAGAATTCTTGTAAATAATAATGCCAAAAATAATAGAAATAATAATGCTGAAAAATAATAGAAAAAATAATACCAAAAATAATAGAAAAATGGTCTAGAAAAATATGAGCCCGCGTTTTTGAGGGAAAATTTGGGAAACCGCTGACCGGAAGTGGGGTGGGATCGCGGGCCGAAAAAAGGGTCCAGAACCGCTACTTCCTATACTACTCCTTCATACTTGGATCCATCTGGATAGATAAATATTCCGTTGCCTTCTTTAATTCCACGAGCATACTGGCCTTCATACCTGGGATAATACGAAATGAGTTACACCAAAGTGTAAATTTTCAAGTGTAAATTTTATACATTATTAGAACTAAACATTTATTAGACCACATTTGTATATATATGCATTTATTAGACCAGGTTCAATTCCTTTCAGAAAGGTTATAGTTGCATTTTTCGCAACTGCTGCAGGTTAAGTGTAACTAACGGTATAAAATTTGCGATCTACAAAACCATTCAAAAATTTGTATAAGTTTGTTCTATAGCCGTTCTAAGATAGGGAAAACAAACTTGTGCACTAAACTGGAGGTGTAAATTAACCTATTTTAGGTGTCGAAATTAATTGCCGTAAGCGTCAATCTTAAAGTCCCAATTTACAGAAATAATTGTTTAATTTTTCTCGAGGATAAATACTAGGTTGAATATTCGTTCAATTTGATTATTAAATTAATATCATGATATATGTCAAAACAATGAATCTTAGAGTACGTGTATGGCAAAGTATAGATTACAACCATAAAAAAATTCAGAAAACTAAATATTCCGATTATAAAAGACTAATTTTGAGTTATTTCAGCTTTAGAATCCTCAAACAGTGTAAATTGCAAACACTGGCTGCATTAGTTTTAGCAGTTTTAGCGGATTTAATCAAAAGCAAGTTGAAAAATTATGAGGTTTTCCCCATAGCCTACTGCATGAATATACGTATAGCTATGGGTTTCAAAAAGGCCGGATTGGCGCCAATTACACAGGATATATATGGAGCCATGAAACGGATCAATTGGCTCTTACATAGTTACAAGGGAACATATTTAAACTCTCTTTAATTTTAGTACGTTGCCAATTTATTTTCAACGAACAGTTCAAATTCTTTCAATTAGAACACAATCACAATACCTTGCTCCATTCTTGATTTTGTATTTTCCAAATCCATGCCTCTTGCCTTCGCAATATTCGCCGACATATTCATCTCCATTTCTTAGAGTAGCCTCACCAAAACCGTGCCTTTGACCTTTCTCATTTCGAGGTCCATTGTATATGCCAATACGCGAAACTGGGTCTAAATCACCGTCAGGACTATCGTAATCTGACATTGCTATTAGGCGCGAAGTATCGCAGAACGACTAATTATAATCAATTGATTGAAACGCAAG